CATCTCGCCGGGCGCGCTCATTGTGCGACGACTTGCCAGTGCGATTCTCGGGATACGCCCAGTGCGTAGTGCTTCCCCATTTCGCCTCGTCGGAGAACTCGTTCTCAAGGTACGGCCACATATCCTCAATGCGAGCCAGCTGCTTCTGCAGGGCTTCATTGGCTGTGTTGATGACGTGGTTCTTCTCCTCGAGCGCAACCAGCATCTCGGTGATCTTGAATGCGGTTTGTCGGAAGAGCTGCCGGCGGGGGATATTGGACGGGTCGAACACGCTCGAGCTGGTGCCAATCGATTCAGCGGTCGAAGGAGGCGGCAAGGGAGCGCCCTGCGCGATCCCGCTGGAGCTATTCTGAGCACTCATCGGGGCAGAAACTGGCGCGGCGACGCTCGACATCTCGTTTTGTAGTCGGGTTTCGGGCCATGGGGCATTGGTGGCGGCAGAGACCAGTTTGAAGAGCTGGTCCTGCGGGCCGGAGAGCTTGGCGTCGACTTCTCGGAGCAATGTAAAGTGTCGGACGAGCTCCTTTGGCAGTGCGGTCATGGTGTCCGCGAAGAAGGTGATCGCGGGAAATATGTCGATGGATTGGTCACCGGTGGCACCATTGCCGAACGACTCCCTGTTGCCGCTGGCATTGCGAGCCAGTGTAGCAGAGCTTCGAGGAGGGTTCGTACGTGTCTGCCGCACAGGCTGAGACCTGCGATGCGATGAAGGCTCCGCTGACGACGGCTTGGCCGACTTCATTGCGGGCGCGACTCACGTTTCGACGGGAGTGCGAGAGAGCTGGGTTGGAGGTTGGAAGCCGACAGCGGTGGCCGAGGGTAAAAGAATGAGGCGGTTGGGAATAAGTAATAGTGAGCGGGCGATCGAGAAGGCTAGAGCATTTTGCGCGATCCGACATGCAAATCGTCAAGGTATACGCGATATCTCGGGGTCCAGGTTGGAGGACGCAACGGCAAGAGTGGTGGCCAGCAGGAGAAGAGATCACCCACCAGACTGACCTTATCCGCTTACCTTGTGCCAGGTGATTCTTATCGCGCATCCGTCAATGGCGATAGGAGTGGGGCCTGCCGCCCATCTACCACCACAACAACTGTCTACGCCGCCCCAGAAATGCGGCTGCCGGTCACGCCTATATTGGCGCCTCTTTAGTCATGATTTGCCCAACGCGCAATTCTCTCTATCCAGTGAAGAAGACTCATTTCTATCTCAAGGAAAGTAGAAGTTTCAGCTAAGAAATAAAGGCGAAATAAGAGCATGGGAATATGAAACGGAGCATCATTGCGTGGGTGAAGAAAAAGGAGACGGAGAGTTTGCCCAATAGGCGCCCCTAATCACTAGCTTTAAAAAAAAGTACCACAATATCGAGTGACGTCTTCATCTGACGGGAAGCAAGCAAGGCTGAAAGATGCAAAAGTCTTAGATTCAAGATTCAGATATGATGGTAATACATCGTGCAATTGCGCCAATGCAGTTCTCATGCTGGCTAAAAGTTCCATGAAAGCTGCTGACCTGCATGTCACGTACTACTTTCCCATCATTAATGATTTGGATACCACGCAAACTCCGGTGGGTTGTCTATTGTTTATTATTCAGGTTGTTTAGATGTTCAAAATGAATTAATGACGCCATGTGCCACGTAATGTTTGTGGCAGCTTCAGGCGAATAGTGATGAGCCCAGAATGATGAGAATGACCGTTGAAAAAGACAAAGAAAATGCAGCAATGTGAAGCCCACTCCGGGAGACAAACCAACTCTGCTTCGCTCCTCATGTTTTGTATATCCTCCTCTACAACAAGGGTATCGAGTTTTGACAATGTCTATTCTACAGTAGTGCCGTTTCGGCGCCTACTCGGCGCATCCTCTCGAGATTTCTGCTTCAGTCTCCATTGCCACTCCAGGAGAACCCAGACGAAATGGTGGAAATCGAACTCGGGCCAGAGGCACTTGAGGAAGAATATTTGAGTGTCCTGGTGGCACTGCCAGAGCATAAAATCACTCAGCCGCTCAACACCGCTGGTCCTGATGAAAAGGTCCAAGGGCGGGTCCTCCGATGTGTACATATGCCTGTCCAGGGTCTCGACTGTAATGGTCTCCGGGTCTGGCAGTTTAGATTCATCATAAGAGCCATTTCTGGTTCGGCGACGGGGAGAAGGTGAGTCTGGGGGAAGAGTGGCTGAGGATGAATCGCCTCCATCCGCATCAAGCGCGCCTTCTCCCTCTGCTGCTTCAGTTTCAGCTTGTTTTTCGGGCGAGCTGTCTCGAATCGTTGGCAAGGGATCATGTCCATTCAACTGCCTTGACAGGATATTTTGTCGGATACGTGATGGCGAGAAGAGCTGGTTCTTGGGGGCTGGGGGTGCGAGGAACTCCGAAACAGTCGACTGTACCGCGGTCGCTATCTCGGCTCTGGATGTGTATGGGAAGCAGATGTTCAACACCGCGCTATTCTCCAGTTAGCAATTCATCCTAGAATGGGGGCTTCTTCGTGCAAGGCTCACTTCTTGTTGTGCTGTGTTCTTGCCACGGCCTTATCCACGACTTGTAAGACATCCTCCCGGAGAAGATCGCGTTGGCCGAGGACTCGGACGGCAGCTCCGTATCGATCTAGGATATCGCCATACGTAGTGAGCTGTTCAAGCTTGACCTTGGCGAGCTGCATGAGACCGTCGACCTCGTACTGCGGGCGGTTGAAATTCTCGATACTGAAGGCATACACGGTCACGGTCTTGACACCGGCCTTGTAGCAGATTTCCATAATCTAGGGACGAGTCAGTGGGTAGGTTGGGTAGGTTGACTAGGAAGTTCGCACTCTTGCCAGAGATTCGAAACCACGGTGGTGGCCCTCGACTGTCTCCATACGGTGGCTTCGGGCATACCGCCTGTTGCCATCCATCTCGAATGCCACATGCTGCGGAACTGGCCCCTGCTTAAGGGCGCCGATAAGCAAGTCACGAAGCTGTGAAAGGGCCCATTCTCCTGGCGGAGATTGAAAGACGAGTCTTTGGAGGAAATTGACGGTGCCGCTCATATCGAGGGCCTCGGTATCGGTGGGATGATTTGTGGTTGTAGAAAGGGGGACGGTAGGGCTGTCGACAAGATGCTAGGATAGAAGATGCCAGGATAGAAGATGCCGAGAGAGGAAATACGTCAGAAGTCTATGAGTCGGCAATTTTGGAGAGCATAGTCGCAGTGATATGGGTTCTATAAAAAAGGGGAGATGCAATCAACGCGACATTTCAGTGGCGGAGTCGTAATGCGGGAGAGACCATGACGACGAGCTTGTGGCTTCAGCTTTTTGAGGCAAGCTGCAGCACATCTGAAGCTTGGCATCAGCTGCTGTACCTCGATCAGCCGAGTTGCGGGTGGTCAGCCACGTCTGTTTGGGGGAAGCGCCACTGTGCCCAGTGTTCATTACGTGGCCCATTCATCTCATTTCCTCTTCATTGCCTCGGGATGCGCAGCGCTAGGCTTGGCTGGTGCGACGGGCAATTGCCAAGATGTGGGAGTAAGCTGGTTAGACCAATCCAGTCCCATAAATCGTTCGGCCCTCCATCAAACGACCGTTGGCATGAAATCGGCGGTGATCTACCTTCCTTGATCTTGAAATTGTGGCTGGTGCCTGTGCGATGATGGACGTGTTATGTAATCTTGCCCCGCGAGGCTTTCGCTTCTTCACCAGCCCTACCGACTGCCGAAGCTGCCTGCCTACCCTGTTGTCTCTTTCCCCGACGTCGTGCTTGTAGCAGTTGGTGGGCGTTGGTACATAAGTAGGTAGGATCAAAAACCCTGGTACTCGGACTATTGTGATACACATTGTGAGGCAAGAACCTGGGTATGGTCTGCCAAGTAATTCATTCCGAGTAAATTATTAGATGTAAAATTTACTATGGTGGTTGTGCAAAATAAAACGGGAGTTTCGTGGTCCAATATGGCACTTACGGAAATTAGCGAACCGCAGACATGTATGAATCATCACGATATGTCTTCCGTGTTTACTGTAGAGCATCCAAGCAAGCGAATGACTGAGTTAGCTAGTAACATGCACTGAGAGCGAATAAGAAGGTTCTTAGATGAAAAGTCGAAGCTGCAAGCTAATCTGCAACCTCTAGCAGGATGTGTCTCGCCCAAGATGTTGACGTCATGCTGCTGGAACTGACCAGGGTAATTCACCTATCAGGATCACGACAGATATCACGGTCTAGCACATCATTATCACCACCCGGCGGGCCGATGACAAGCTCAAGTCTCAACGGCGCATGAACCACGCTATCTGCCCACCTTCTGGATCCTCCTGTAAGTCAGTGCCTTGGAAGGAGATGATGGTTTTCTCGACCGCCTAGCGTCAGCGAGAAAGTTGGTTGTGTCCTGGTGCTTGTGCCTGCGGCCACAACCCAATTCTCCAAATGCAGCCGGGGCAGGGTATCCGACAGTTGACAGGGCATGTTGACCAGGTAGCTTGGGACCCGCAGATGCATTCGACAGTTCCGACCGCGATCGACACCTTGCAGCATCCGGGCAATGCGCCGTACTACATCGAAGAACAGAGCTTCGCGGAGACGCTGGCAGCTACTAACAAAAAAGATTGACCGCCAACGCGCATTCATTCATTCATTCATCTATTGAGAAAACAAATAGTCCGTCCGCCTAACCCCTTGCCTCGTAGTCCAAAGGCAATAGCTGCCGGAGAGAGCTCCAGGCCTGCTAGGCCGTGCCTTCCCTGTGGTCGCATCCGGCCTAGCTGTGACCGCCCCTCTCCGGCCACCCCTCCACCGGTGCCCCTCCAGATCCAAAATCTACAATGCTGGTGATCCATTAATAACTGCTGACCTACCAGCTCGCATGTGCCTATGACACCCACAAATGTCCTGTCATTGCTTGCTAGTGCCTGACTGAGCTAAATGTGCCGCAGCCATTGATACCGCCCGCTGAGCTTGTTTCCGTTCTTGTTGCTCCTTCATCGACCGTTAACGCCTTATCTCAACCGACCGCGACCGCAGTCATGGTTGTCTTTGATGGTCATGAGTACCTCACCGAGGAGGAGAAGCGCCTCAAGCAGGATCGCAATCGGGACCTGTACTGGAAGAAATGGGGCCCGTATGTAGCCGAGAGGCAGTGGGCGACTGGTAGGACGATGCTCCTTATTGCTCCTTTGTCCGACGAGCGAGATTGCTGATTGCTTTACTAGTCCGAGAGGATTACAGCCCGGACGGTGATGCTTGGAGCCGTAAGTATCCCAATTGGACTTGTTTTGGCTGTCCCCAGGCGATTAATTAGCTTCTAGACTTTCCCCACGACCATGCGCGATCTCGAGCCTTCCGATGGGGCGAAGATGGTATTGCGGGAGTCTCAGACACACACGGCCTCCAGAATATCGCCTTTAGCTTCTGGAACGAGAAAGAGTTGGTCTTCCACATCTGCTCCGTTTCTGGGCTTGCTAACCCTGTGCAGTGATTTTCTGAAGGAACGCTTATTCGGTCTGTCCAACCCGCAGGGCAACCATGGAGAGAGTGTGAAGGAAGCTCATTTTCACCTGGATAACACTCCTGTAAGTTCACCACTGGTTCCTGCTACTCCGCCATCACATGTACTAACAAATCATAGACCGTATGTTCTTGCCTGCGACCGCTTCCTCTCATTCCTTTGCATTGAGTAATAACAATGGCTGCAGCATTCGTACATGAAATTTCTCTACAAATACCCCCAGAAGAAGTTCCCTTACGAAGATCTCTTGAAGGAAAGTGCCCGGCGCACAAAGCAAGACAAGGAGTACCAGCTCATCGACACTGGCGTTTTCGACGAGGACAGATACTGGGATATTTTCATCGAAACTGCAAAGGAATCCGACGACCCAGATGAGCTTCTATTCCGCGTCACTGCTTGGAACCGAGGTCCCGATCCCGCGCCGCTTCACATCGTACCGCATGTTTGGTTCCGGAATACCTGGAGTTGGGGCCGCGAGCCAGAAAGCAAGAAGCCATCCATCCAGCTCCATAATGAGGTCACAGCCAAATCCAAGCATTACAGTTTGGGTGAAAGATATTTTCTACTCTCTCCATCACCTGGAGTTGGTTCTAGTGAGGATGACGTCATGCCCGAGCTGATGTTCACCGAGAATGACACCAACTTCAAATCTCTGTATGACCAGAAGAACCCCCAGCCTTACGTCAAGGATGCCTTCCATCATTATATCGTTGATGGAGAAAAGGACACCATCAACCCTGCAGGAAAGGGTACCAAGTGCGCTGCCTGGTACCCTTTCAACGAAGATGGCGGTGTCCCTCCCGGGGAGTGTGCAGGTAAGACTTATTTCCAATGGCGAGGGAAAAGGCATCCGAGCTGATAATCAATACAGTGGTCCGCTTTCGAATTTCCAAGAAGGACGTAGCCTACCTTGACGAGGAAGAGTTTGATGATATTATCGAAAGGCGCAAGGAAGAGGCCGACGAGTTCTTCTACAGGATCAGCCCGCTACCGATTTCTGATGATCTTCGCAACGTCCAGAGACAAGCCTTTTCCGGGATGATGTGGAACAAGCAGCATTATCTGTTCATTTGGGACCAATGGGCGAATGGAGACCCTTCAATGCCGCCACCGCCTCCCGATCGACGAGGGATTCGCAATTCTCAATGGAAGCACATGCATTGCGATGATATTCTATCTATGCCAGACTCTTGGGAGTATCCGTTCTTTGCTGCCTGGGACAGTGCATTTCACTGTATTCCTCTGGCCATGATCGACCCTGACTTCGCCAAGAAGCAGCTTGATTTATTCACCCGAGAGTGGTACTGCCATCCGAACGGGCAGATTCCAGCGTAAGTTGACCCTTTCTGTTGTTTCTGGTTCGAGATGTGAGTGATGGGCGACTAACACTATCGAAACAGCTATGAATGGAACTTTGGTGATGTCAACCCTCCTGTCCATGCCTGGGCAACCTTCCGGACTTTCAAGATTGAGCGGAAACTGTATGGACGTCAGGATATTGATTTCCTTGAACGTGTTTTCCAGAAACTCCTGCTGAATTTCACGTGGTGGGTGAACCGCAAGGACACCGATGGCAAGAACGTGTTTGAGGGTGGTTTCCTCGGGCTGGATAATATCGGCCTCTTCAACCGATCTGAGCCCCTACCAACTGGAGGTGTTCTTGAGCAAGCAGACAGTACAGGATGGATGGCATTTTACTGTTTGAGCATGCTCAACATTGCCCTGGAGCTGGCAAAGCACCGCCGCACGTACGAGGATATTGCGTCCAAGTTCTTCGAGCATTTCATCTTCATTAGCGATGCAATGACCTTCCGAACAGGGGGCAAAGAGGAGAAGTCATTGTGGAATGAGGATGACAGCTTTTATTATGATGCTATCTCTTGGGGAGGTCCATGGATCCAGCAGCTCCCCGTCCGGTCCCTCGTTGGGCTCATTCCCCTCTATGCCACTTCAACTCTCGAACCTGAGTTGATCAACAAGCTTCCATCGTTCAAGAAGCGAGTGGACTGGTTCGTACAGAATCGCTGCGATCTTGCTGAACGCAACATGGCAAGTATACGGAAGAGAGGTAAGGGAGATCGGCTTCTCCTTTCTATTGTCAGTAAGGACAGGCTAGAGAAAATCTTGAAGAGAATGCTGGATGAGAATGAGTTCTTCAGCGACCATGGTATTCGATCGCTGTCAAAACATCACAAAGAAAACCCCTTCTCCATGGAGGTCAACGGGCAGAAGTTCGAGGTTGGATACATCCCTGGAGACTCCGATAGTGGCCTTTTTGGTGGAAATAGTAACTGGAGAGGCCCGATCTGGCTCTGCGTCAATTTCCTTTTGGTAGAGTCTCTCCAGAGATTTTTCCTCTTCTACGGACACGAGTTCCAGGTGGAATGTCCCACCGGAAGCGGTGAATACATGCACCTGGGCAAGGTTGCAGAGGAGATCCAGCATCGTCTTCAGCATCTGTTTGCTCGCACCGACGATGGAAGACGTAGCATCAACGGCGGCGATGATCGTCTCGATTTTGATGAGCACTGGAAGGACTACCTTTGGTTCCACGAGTTCTTCGATGGCGACACTGGCCGAGGACTCGGTGCTACCCACCAGTGTGGTTGGACGGGTCTGATCGCCCGAATGATTCACGACACCGGGTAAGTCTTGCAAAAGAATGCCTTGAATTAGTCCCTCCTAAAGAGTTAATGCTAACTGAATACTCAGCGTGAACTGTCGACTTCCTCAAACTCCCAGAGAGCCAACTGCTACCATGGCGCATTACTTCGACGATGTCTTCCAGCGAAGAATCAACGCCGGAACCCCCCACCCCTCTGGGAACATGCGCATCCGGCGATCATCCACCTCTCGCTCAATCGGCGCGAGAAGTGACTTTTCGCTCAACGGGGCGGATGTGGATGATGAGGACGGCGATGCGCACTCCATCACCGCATCTGTCTTCCCAGATGACCCGGAGCGTACCCGCCAGAGAACCGAGGCGGACTCTCACATGCACCGCTACATCTCGGACCAGCTTGAACGCTATAGGATTGACCAGACCCCCAGTGACTACGAACAGGATCTTGAGACGGACGCAAAATAGGATGAGTGGCGCTTGGATATAGGCTAGATTTTTGTTTGTTTTGTATACGGAGAACAGAAGATAGCTGATCTCATTCCTCGAGCTCACAACGTAAAACGGTAATTACAGTATAGGATAGAATAAAATACATGGGATATTCAATGGTGCCTTTTCTGATACCGCACGCATGCTTGCCGATTTAACAACATTCACCATGGAGTCTTCATCGTCATTTTGGTCATGGGAAGTTTATATAAGACGTTGTTCTGAAATAAATAGCCCCCCTGACTTTCAGCAGGAAGATGGCATGGCCTTATTATCTGGCTTCTCATCTAGGCACAGGCTCAAGGCTGCCTCTACTCTCCCGCAAACCCCTGCAACGGCACATTTGCAATAACAACAAGCACCCAGGAGCCGAAGAAAAATCCATCACGACGAGGGGGTCGAATTCTGCGAGCCATTGATCTTTTTTTTTTATACATGGCACAAAGGGAAAAAGGAAGTCAATTGACTTTATGGAGTGCTAGTAGTAGTATAGACGAGTGATATTTTACAGGCTGTCCGTCAAGAGCTTGTTCATCTTGGCGATGCGGGCGGAGACGCTGAGGTCGATGGTTCGGTCACCGATCTCGACGACGAGTCCACCGACGATCTCAGGGTTGACCTTGGGGGAGAGCAGAGTTAGCTGGCGCACTTGCGATGCGGGGGGGATCGAATATCTAAACGAGTTGGGCGAGAACATACAGAGTTGGTGACCTTGAGGGTCTTGCCGGGGCCGACGTAAGCGGACTTGGAGACGGCGTTTTGGAGACGGTTGAGAGTTCTGTTGTCGAGGCCCTGCATGACAAAAATGTTAGAGAGTTCCATACATGGCAGCACGCCTTCGACATGCATCGCAATTCATGTTTGATAGAGCTCCGGGTCTGTCGCAGGATCGGCTGGTGCAAGGGAGAGGTCGACCTACCTGAGCGCTGGTGATCTTGAGCTCAACCTCGCCACGGGCGGCGGCGATCAGCTCGGTGAACTTTTGGCAGACGCCGCCGAGGAGGCCCAGGCGGTTGTTCTCGGCGAGGGTCTCGAGGAAGTTCTTGACGGTGGGGTCGCTGGCGCCGGCCTGCTTGGTGAGCTCGGCAACGATGTCGGACTTGTCCTTGGGGGTCAGGGTAGGGGCCGACAGGATGGAGGCGAGCTTGGGGTCCTTCTCGAGGAGGGCGCCGAGGCTGGTGATGGCCTTGGCGGTGGGATCGAGGGCGGAGGACTTGGAGGCGGCCGTGTACTGGTAATTGACGCAGATGTGTTAGCTATTTTCCCATCTCGCGTGCCGTTCCCCCGGCTTCATCAATTGGAGCTTCCGGCGGGGGTAAAAAAATGCCCAATTGATCGCGGAGAGGCCAATTCCACCGAAAAATCCATCTCCCAGTCGGAGTACACGCGTACCAGAGCAGTGGCATAGGTGCCATCGAGGCCGAAGACAGCCTTGGGGGCCTTGACTTCGGCGCTGGCAGCCGCGGCAAAGGACCGCACAGGCGTTGATCGCAGGGCGAGGGCGCGCTGGGGGGCAGCAGCCCGGACGGAACGAAGAGCTTGTCGCGAGAACATGGCGGTCGTTTGGCGGAGGAAGGTTGGGGTTGCTGGAAGGAGTTCGTGGTGATGGCGTCCGGCTTGTTCTCGTTGGAGACTGTTGCACTTCGGCAATTTTGAATTCTTGTTGCCTTACTGGATCTTCCGATCTAAGGCATCAACATGCTCTTTCCCCACCGTGACCTCCAGGGCCGGTCAACAGTGATTACATAATGACCATCGAAGCTATGCCCTGCCAAGTGGGTGCCAGAAAAATAGGGACAGTTACAGTGATCCCATATCTCAACTGTTTGATAAAGGGCACCATATAGACATAATAAGTTTGGAGTAGCGAAACACTGAGAACATCGGGCATTTGGACTGTCAGTGAAAATAGCAAATGTTACCAAGTCTATGTGAAGTCTGGTTTTCTTCCTTCGCTTGATACAACGATGCGTGTTCTTGTTCCTCAATCGGATTCATATCTAACCTGTACCAAACCATGCTACCAACCTGTATCCCTGAAATAAAATCCCTAACGCCGCAAACTCCTCAAGTGCCCTCAAACTCTTGTATACATAAAAGTACGCCAAGCCGGCTATTTGAAAGCCACTCTAGTCGCTCTTCAACATGCTGTCAACCAAATCACCCAAGGGCCCCCAGTAGTCTCGCCCGCTGGCAAGGCTGTGCTCGTCAATGAAGAGCACATACTGCTTAAAGCTGGTGTTGAGATGTGGCTCGAGTCCTAGCTCCCGAATGACAGGGTAATGGTGGCAGTAGATGTGTGCATAAACGCGGTACATGCGCTTGAAAATCTGGCGGACCAAGGCCGGGAAAGACTTGGGGAATGGGACACCTGGTAAAAAGGGTCAGATAAGCTCAACAGGGTACCAAGACTTTCGATGATGCCTCGAATATCACTTACCAATCTTGCTGGGCAGTACTTGCTCATTGTCGATGTTCGACTGCACCCACGCCATGAGTTGTTCAATATAGGCGGGGGCGGGCATCTTGGTTGGCCGCTTGTAGTTCTCGTTGTCCTGCCAGAGGTACTCGAATCTAACATGTTCAGCTGAGCACGTTCCGATATATCATGTTCGTGACTAGACGTACTCGTCTGTTGCCTTCATTTCAGGGCAGGATTGTGGGGAGCAGAATTCAGTAATAGCACCGTAGAGGAGGTTGATTTGGTTGTAGAAGTCCACCACTGTTGCCCGTCAGTCATCTGTCTCGAGGGCGTAACCTTGATTTTGCCGAGCTTACTGTTGACGGCGAGCCATTCGTTCTCATCCTCGCCCTCGGGGAGCTTGACAACCTTCCTCAAGCTACCACCCCCGAGGGTGACCTCGGCATACTGTCTAAGTTGGTAGCTGGGTGTGCCGCCCTTGCCCAATCGGGGTCGAAATTGGTTCTTGGTCCGCTGGTTGCTGTTCGGGACCACGGTCCTGTTAGCATTCAGTCCATCTGCGAGGACCAGAGGAGGCGGCGGGCTGGGATCGGCAGGAGGAGGGGATGGGGCATCTCTATAAACGGGTATGATGGTGTTGTCGATGCGTTGCATGGTAGCAAGCGACTTGGGGCTCAGGTAGCGGAAGACGGATGCCATTGCGGCGACTTGTGAGGCTTGGAGATCAAAGGGAGAGAGACGAACACGGTGGTAAGGAACTGATGAGCCATGGCAGCAACGTTATGAATGCGACAGACGGTTGTCAATAATCGGAGTCCGGCTTGCGATGCTGCATTCCTGTTGTTAGCGGGGGAACGATGGAGGGGAATGCTGATTGGAGACACCCACGGCGGTGATGCGAACTGGAGAACAGGCACGACGTGATTCTCGAGAAAAGAACGCACGATGCGAGGCCACCTGTGATGTGTCCAGCTGTTGGCCAATAGTTGGGGCAAGGGTTTGGGTGGGTTCGGATGCTGATGATGCACACAGGGAGGTTGTAGTAGGTATCGATCAGGCTTTTGGGATGGTGTTGGCCCGCATTGCAGACGGTTCCTGGTGGGGTGTTTACTTGGTTGCCCGTTTTGGGGCGGTTGCTGGGGGACCAAGGGACCTGCTCTCCCACCGCCATTGGAGCCCGTACCCACTGCTGCGGCACCTAACAGCCCTGTAGATTAACCTCCAAGGATTGACCAGCACCCATGCATCTGGGGTTGGTTGCCAGTTGCTCTCGACAACCATATGCATGCTTTGAGATATGTGCTTGGGAACTTGAATTTACGAAATGATGAGAAAATATTTTCATTAGTTGCGGTGTATTCGATCAATGAGAAGATAGACATTTTCATCAATCGATCGAGACTTCAACTGGCAAAGGGAGCTGTTAGCCAACCAGGCCAGCTATTATTGTTTAGTAGTAGAATCAGATATTGAAGCCTCCTCGCATTAGTCTTGGAGATTCATAGATTACCACCTCCCCCGACCTCGGCCTCGACCTCGACCCCGTCCTCCACGCCCTCCATGTCCGCCCCTGTGGCCGCCCCGAGGAGGGCCTCTTCCCTGAAAGCCACCTCGTTGTGATGGTGCTGGGCCTCTGGCTTTCCTTTCAGCCCTCTCCTCGGAACTTGCGTCCCATAGATTCTTTATGCCAAGGAGAGAACAGAACGCCGCAGTCTGGGGGCTCGTATATTCTTCTGGCTGCTCATGAACAATGGCAGGAGTACCATGAACATATGGAGGAGCTGTGGTTTCGAAGTTTCTGGGAATCTCGAGTCTATCCTTCTTGACAATGTTCTCATCCACCCACTCCATCTCAGCCTTGATCAATGGTAGATACTGGTCTTCACCAATGTTAGGTGGGTTCTGAGCCGTTGGGTCGCCAAATTGAAGCGAGTCATGGAAGACTCGTACGATTGCTAGCCATTCAGGATCATACTCAAATCGGAAACGAGGCCCCGACGATTGTGGTGGATATTTGGAGGCATCTTCCTCTTGGTGTGGGTGAATTTCGCACAGTTGTAAAAAATGCCTACCAGGAAGGCATTTGTCTAGGGCTAAGAAGCGCACCTCCTTGTTTGTAATTGTCTCTGGGACTGGTTGACCTGGTTGACCTGACACTGTCTTCTTAGGGCGAGTGAATGAAGCAGGTAGCTGCGCCCTCAGCTCATCGGAGGCACCCTGTGAGTCAGTTTGGGGTTGACTGCTGGGCGCAGGTTTAGTTGTTTTTGGACCATCTTCCTCATCCAAGTCGAGATCAATTTCATCTGGGTTTCCGGCATCTGCGATTTGCTCATCTACTCCCCCGGCTTCCTCGCCTACTGTCTGTTGTTGATTCGAGGCGGAGTCGGGGGCTTGATCAGAATATGTCTTGAGCGCAGCATATTTGACATGTAGATGTGCTGAAAACCAGTAGGGAGGCCGCAATCTATCCATGACATACTTGGCGCCCTGGCTGCCGAGCGTACCATCTCTGGACTCTTGCCTGAAATCTCTCTTCTTTCTAAACAAAGACTCGGAGTCGCCATGCTTCTCAATCTCACGGGGCCAATCATGACTTAACCCGACATCCACTTGAGATTGTACCAGTAGGAGCTTTCGCACATCAATTTCGCGGACATGATAGAACGACTTGACATCGTCGGCGTTAAAAGGAAGGCGCTCATGATGGGGCTTGTTGTAGTCAAAGCCTTTCCAGATGCCAGATAATCCAGCAATTCGAATGGGACCCAATCGAATGATGTTGGCGGCACCAAGGTAATAGATGTTTGGGGCAACCCAGCCACCGTAGTAAAGCTCCCAGAGATGAGAGCTAGCCTCGTGGTTGCCAGCAATGAATACGGTCAAATAGGGGGCAGTCCGTTCGCCAGAGTAATACTTGGGGAAATCACCAAGTTCGCGGTACTTGACCGGACACGACATGATGGAGAGGTCTTCCGCATTGCGGACTGCCTTGATAGGTCTGTTAGCTGGATGGGAATAACGTATGGGCATCCGATTTGATATAGTGGTAGGGGCATGAATACCTGAAAGTCGCCACCGATGATGAGGAGATCGACACCATCCCAGCCGCGAACCTCGCATGATTTTGAAACCGATGCGTAGATGGCATCTAGGGTACCATGGCCCTATGAACGGTCAGCGTCTTGCATGCTGGGCTAACGAAGCAAAAAATCTTCCTCGCCTCTTGATCGTCTAGATTGGGTTCGATCTTACACAACCTTCCACGGCGATACGGACACCCTGGGACTCAAACGCACTAGACGCCATTCTTTGACGTGTTTTATAATGCGGGCGTTTTCGAGACGCTGCTTGTTGTGTGGAATATCTCGGGTTGCTGGGCCTCGTCTCAGTCCTTCGTAGTATTAGACCTAACCTATAGCACCAAATTCCAAGGTGGCACCTCACTGCTTCATTTCCTTGGAGCAGCGAGAGCAGCAGCTGGGTGCCTTAGGCAATGTTTAGATTTTGATTAGTTGTCCTTAAGCTTATTACTTAGGATCTCTTGAACATATCGATTTCGAATGAATGTCCTTTTCTCAGGTAGTCTGCTTAGTCATCTGCAAGGTAAACTGCTGTTATGTTGCTCCGCGACAGCACCTAACAATATGACGTTTGCAACTGTGATGCGGGTAGGAGAACACAAGGTACTATTCAGTATCACTGATGAAAAGAGATTTAAGACGGGACGTGTATTGATTTCTAACTGGCATGCTTTCTTCATACTCATACTGCATGGTGCGAGTGCAGTGCACTTTCTACTAAAATGTATCCCTACAGAAAAAGCGAAATCTCAATGCGATTGCAACTGAGTCACGCAGAGTGAGAGGGAGGTATTGATATTCCAAGTCTAATAGACGTTCGGCCCACGGAAGAACTGAAGAGCAGAACGCATATGCTGAAATGGGTGTTTTAGGCAGATTGCTGCCAAACATTTGGGGAGGAGTAGCTATGTGGATGGTTGCACCATAAAGACGGACCGAATGCTGTTGGTCGTCTGCGGCATGAGGTTGTTGAACTTTGCAGTGTCTATTATCGTATTGTACCCTACCGTCTAACGCCAATGGAGTTTAAAAGTCATATCTCATTCATTTACTGTTCAAATTCACACTGGAGTTGTCAGCAATGAAAGAATCAGACGGATATCATGTGGTTTTGCTTACTGGTCCAGGCCAAGATAGTCGGCAGCAGCAAGGAGTTCCAGACAGATTTCCACAGGGATATCCATATCGGGCACATCCTCGCTGTTTCGGTAACGATACCAGTAATGGAAATACTCGACGATTTTGTCAAGAACAATAGAACTATCAAAGCTTTGTTAGTTTTATATCGGCGTGAGCTTTGCGGCGGTGGAAGTTAGAAGGGATAGGCAAGTTGGTCAGTTCAAGTGTAGAGGGTGATCAGTCGGAACACGCCAGGTTATCGGGGTTCCGTCAAGAGAAATAACTCAAAGTCATCATCCCATGCGTCCCTAATGTGTCCATCTGCGTGGGCTGTGAAGTGTGGGATATGCAACCAAGGGAATGACCAACCTTATCTCTTGGAAGACACATCGTGCGTGTTTGGCCTCAGCAAATTGGCCTGTGTGCAAGTAAACGCAACGTGTAAGCATCGAATAGTAGGCCTAATGGGTTATCTCAAGACGGCGAGTCGCCTTTGTGACATACTCTTCGGGTCCAGCATGCCCTTGACTATGGGGCTGACCATCGCAGCTTCCCGAAGAACAACAAACTCGAATCCATCGCTCGAGATGAGCGTGACATACTTGCTGGGGGCTTGGACGTCCATTGTGGGTTTGTATGTGTGTGCAACTTTACGTCTGGGATCCCGAGAACTCAAGCGAGAAGTCGAGGGGGCTCTGAACAGAGATTGGCTGGAGTCGGAGTCAAGCGCTTGCTCAACACGGTCGACAGCCTTGGGAATCCGACACGGAGGTCTCTCTCGTCTTCTGCGGCTTTCCACACGCACTTGTTTTGGATCTTTGGGAGCTGCAGCAGCTCTGTATGCACGAGTCAACGGTTTCAGAACCCGGGTCAAAGGTTCCACTACTGCAATGGCTGATGCGAGAAGTGTTGGGTGGAAGAAGGAAAGAGGAAATCTGTTTGACGCTGGCTGCAAATTAATTTGCGTGCGGGACGGCAAAATCTGGGTCGGGCGCGTAAACACTTTTCTCCGCATGGGAGCCTGGCAACGTGTCTGGCTGCTGGCATAATAATCGGCAATAAGACAGGCCAGCCCTCACCGCCGCACTCGGGTGGGGCTTTGGGGGAGGCTTGCGCTTGTGGCGACATTACCGTCGTCGTCGGGTGCCTCTGCAGCGCATTGCAGGCGTTGCTACAGCGCGCCTACAGGGTATTCGCCAGCGCATTGACGACTGCATCCATCCATGCCACCCCGATCCCAGTGCGGTACAGAGCACAGGAAAAAGCGGGCAGCGAAAATGTCCTGAGACACAGGACTCGACGTTGCCTCGCCAACGTGTTTACCTCGCACTGGGCCATGCATGACCTGCTATACCCATCCCAAACTCCCACGCCTTGCTCCCATTCTACATTCCAGCATCAACCAACCTGCATCTTTGCATCTGCCACCTGCAGTCCAAGTCTTCTGTTCGCATCTAGCTGTGTCCACGTATGTGAGCACATTACTTTAAACCGACCCAAACAGCTGCAGCTCAGCCACCACACGCAAACTTGGCAACTATTATTCCTCACCTATTGCCCTCGAATTGGCGCAAACCTCTGTATTCTTAACACATTCAATCGGGTATCTTCTTGCCTTTTTGTCTTTCAAAGCGCCCAGGAGGCCAACGGCAGTGTACGAAGGAGACAGAGGCCACAGCAGCCATATTGACCGACCGCGGGTTACCAGCATTCTTGAAGGGGATTGACGCCTGAGACAAACCCACGATCAGCCATCCGCCTCACAATGGCGTCGTATCAATACCGCAACTCTTACTATGCCCAGCCCAGTGGCTTGGAGCACAACTCCAGAGACCAGCGCACACGCTCAAGCGAGGGTACTGTCAGCACCACAGTCAGCTCATCAAGCGGGCGCGAATCAGCAGGGACACACACGACGGAACCTCCAACTTATTCCAAGAAGATTGTGGTTGTCGGTGATGGCGGGTGTGGGAAGACTTGCTTGCTCATCAGTTACAGCCAAGGCTACTTCCCAGAGGTGAGTGGACAGGATCCTCAGGAAACTTGGAATACGAGAACAGCTGCTAATGCCCAACCACAGAAATACGTCCCTACCGTCTTCGAAAACTACATTACTTACCCGGTCCACCCTCCTGACGGGAAGACTGTCGAGCTTGCTCTGTGGGATACGGCCGGCCAAGAAGAATACGACCGCCTACGGCCGCTTTCATACCCTGAAACCGATTTGATATTCGTCTGCTTTGCCATCGACTGCCCCAACTCCCTCGATAATGTGCTGGACAAGGTATGTGCTTTCTCATATTTCTCGATCCCGAAGAGCCACAATAGCTAACACTATACTTCCTAGTGGTACCCCGAAGTCCTGCACTTCTGCCCTTATACCCCGCTCATTCTCGTTGGTCTCAAGTCGGACCTACGTTATAAGAAGACCTGCATTGAGATGCTCAAGACTCAAGGCCTCACACCCGTCACAACCGAGCAGGGTATGGCGGTTGCCAAGAAAATGAGCGCCCAGTACATGGAGTGCAGCAGCAGGGAGATGGTTGGCGTTGATGAGATCTTTGAGCGTGCCATTCTCACCGTCGTGGCAAACGACCGCAAAAACCTCGAGGCCAACGCTGCCTCGTCAGCTCACAGGAGCAGCGAGGGCAAGTCGTCGATCCCTGGCGTAGGGGCGCCCAAGAGGAGGAAGCGAAAGTGCCACATTCTGTAAGGGGCCTCGCCTCGCCACACGACGGGTTGGCTTCGACGACAGAGGGACGCTCTTGTAATGACCAGTGCATGAAACGACTTCTTGAATTTTCTCCTTTTCTTCCCCTTTTTATTTTTTTATCTTATTTTATGGCGGAACTAGAACAACCTGGCGCATGCCTTGTTTCTTGGAGGGTTTTGCTGCGCATTGCATCTCGAGGAACAAAGAGCCCAGGACACACGAGGGTATATAGGAAGGGATCTTTGGTCTGCGGGAGTCGAGACGGCCTTTGAATTTCAAGAGCGGGTTCAAAGGGATATAATCTGGGGCGTCGTACTCGAACCGGCAGAGCATGCGGGTGGATATGTTTTAGGTTCTTGAATTCTTTTCTTTTGTAGTATCATGGTTGTGTTACGTTGCACTTTATTAGGGATTGGGATAGGAAATACAGCTGATTTTGTTTTGCGTCCATAACTTTGGCGACTCGCGCTTCTAAGAGGCAAGTCATCATGTTGACCGTACTCCTTCCTAACCTCATCCACGTCTTAATGTCGTTTCATTGGGTGGATTTCGCCCTGTCAAGTAGAGCAAATCGAGATTGCTTAAATATTTCATATCATGGTAGTCGTTCATTTAATCGTGATGTCCTCGTCCATTTCCTCATCCTCGTCTTCAGCTGCCACCTCTGTTTCCAGATGGCTGTCGTCGTTGTCGTCGTCGTCGTGATGCTGCTCCTCCTGCTGCTGCCCCTCCCCTGCCTTGGGGCCGTCCTCGTCTTTTGCCATTACATTCTCGAACTGGGACCAGAGTGCCTCGACGGATGAGAACTCATTCCCAACCTACACCCCAGATCCTAGTCAGCGTCCAAAAGTTGAATACGAGGAGGGGTGTTGGGTCAACGAACCGCAATCACGGCTTCGAGGGATCGGTTCAGCTTGTTGATGTTGGCGAGCACATGCTCGAAGCTCTGGCAGCTCGTTGGTCAGCGGTTGAAGAACGGTGGTCGACGGAAGGTAAGGTCCGGCACGAACCATGGCAATTTCGCCAATGAGGGCCTCTCGCTGCTGTTCGAAATACGTTTTTTCGCGAGGTTCCATGTTGAGTTGTCGAGGTTCGGTTGGCGGGCGTTGATTGACCTGCCACAAGGAACGCGGCTGAGGTGGGGGGAATTGTCGCGTCAAGCTCTTTAGCCGCCTGTAACCGCAAGTCTTTTATCCATCGTCGACAGAAAACATCCACCACCAAACACGCCCCTGGCGCTCAGTCAGGTGAAGTGAAGGAGATTCCAATTAATCATTTCAAATATGACTTACTCGTCCTCTTAGAGGATACGTAAGTACCTAGGGCACTGGGTTACTTGAAGGGGAAACTACTGATGTTTTAATCATGTTCAACTGCCTTATTTCCTTTATATAACACTTGGCGTCAAGAGTGTTTCCTCGTGACTGTTTGGATTACCAGACTTTTTCTTCTTCTTTTTCAAATTTTCGCAACTCACAAATAAATTCTTCCGTAAGGACTAGTCTGCTCGCTTATCCAAGATCGATTTCCAAAAGCTCGTTGTAATATGGCCACAAGTATATGTTCGTTGCAGAATTATCTATAGCTAGATGCGTTTGAATACCAATACTCGATAAATACCATTTGCCTAGAATGAATGCGAAGAATCGCAATGCCCAATGTCATCATCACCTGCTTTGTGTGCCCAAGACAAATGAACCCTCGATCCTTGCGCCATCTCCCGGTAGAAAACTGCTGTACAACCTCTCAATTTGAACATTACATAGAAAGCATGGGTATATATATGCATGCCATGCCGCGACCGATAGACTAACGTTGTTATAAACTATACTCTACAGGATAGAAAATAAAGGAACCAATAAAAACTTATTATAAGGATAGGAGTAAGAGGCATATCGAAATCATTACCAAAAGAGCAATGTTGTAGGCAATTGACAATCCGCGGGCCCTGGAATCACCTTCCATACTGATCCATCCGCCGGTCGTACTCGTGGGGTCGAAGACCATGTGCCACATCCCGAGGGTCTCTCAGTTCTCGGGGGTCTCTCAGTTCTCGGGGGTCTCTCAAGTCTCGGGGGTCTCTCAAGTCTCGGGGGTCTCTCAGCTCTCGAGGGTCTCTCAGCTCTCGAGGATCGCGGTGCTGAGGATCTCGGAGTTGCAAATCCCGCGGGTCTGGCCCAGAGTATCCTCCAGGGCCTTGCGAGGGCGGGGGTCCGCGACCATCATAGGGAGAAGGTGTATAGCTTCGTGGGGGGAGTTCTCGAGGTGGTGGAGGTCCGGGTCCGGGGCCGGGAGTTGATGCGTATCGTGGAAAAGACTGAGATTGCGGTGGGCCCGGGTCTGGTCCTCTGGAGGAAGAGGGTGGAGCGTACCGGCCTTGCATTTGATGTTGTTGTTGAGGTACCCCACCGGGCCCGTACATAGGCGATCCGCGTTCGTCTCTCAAACCGGTAGAATGATGCGCCTGCTGAGGGGGGGGAGCTGTAGCCCAAGAACTTGTCGGCCCACTGACACCCGAGGAGCCAGGATGTTGAGGAGCCCATGATTGTTGGGGTGGAGGTGGTTGGCTGCTCTTTGGGCCTTGAGTTGCCCAGTTGGATGCATGTGGCTGATGACTAGCTGGTGGCCATGAGTCTCGGGCACCTTGGGGTACCTCTCTTCCCCTCGAGGTTGAGTTATGCACACCATACTGAGGGGGTGGAGAAGACGCATGTGGTGGTGGTGCTGACCCATACGATGTGGGATAGCCTTGACCCTGATATCCCATTGGGGGCTGCCCTGAAGGTTGGAAGCGATGCTGATGCTGAGGAGAGTTGCTTGCGCTGGGCTGATGGCCAGCTGGGTATGCGTGCTGTCGATAGTAATCCCGATCTCCCAAGGCTGGAGACTCAGAGCCTAAGCCCAGCGTAGAACGGGGGCCACCTGAGGCTTGTGGTTGAGGTGAAGCCGCGTAAGAAGGCTTGAGAGGCGGCATAGCAGATGCTGGTCCAGGTTGCGGCCTGCCATAAGGAGAGTACGGAGGGTCCTCTCGGCGTAGTGGTGCCGGTAGAGGGGCGTCTCTTGGCGAAGGTCGCCCCAATGTTTGGGGAGGAGGGGTTGGCGATGGCCTGGCAGACTGGCCAGAAACATCGTTCATACGTTTGGGCGGCGGCGGATCATCGTTCAATAGTGACATAATACTGGATGCTTTGCGAGGCTCTGGAGGTCGAGGAGGTGCGGCAGCCGGTGTTGGCGGTGCAGACTGTGGTGGAGCTGAGCCATACACATCTTGGCCAGGACCAGCTGGCATTCTCTGCTGGAGCGAAGAAGGCGGCCTAGGACCAGGAGGAGCCAGTGGTGGAGGTGAGGATTGAGCTGGAGGAGCATCACTTAAGATGCTTCGCACTGGCTGTGATGCAGCCTGCAAGGGTGCATAAGCTGAAGGAATCCCATGCCTAGGTGGTTCGTGCCTGAGTTGCTCGTGCCTGGGTGGTTCGTGTCTAGGCGCCTCGTGTCTAGGCAGCTCATGCCTGGGCGGTTCATGCCTGGAAACCTGTTGCGTATGACGGGGCAGAGCCAGCGGATCATTTCTTGGAGGAAGCGTTGGCGGACGATGGCCAAAGGCCTCGTATTGGCGTGGGGAGAGGGGGTCTGCTTCCGGTTTGATTCTCATCGGTCGGCGGTCTTGTTGTCGAACCATTTCCCTCTCCCTCTCCCTTTCCCGCTCTATCCTATCACGCTCCCGTTCACGTTCGCGCTCCAGCTCTCGTTGCTGCAGCTCCATTTGCTGCCTCTCGGGGCCGAGTTCAGGCTGTGGTGGCTGCATGTGTTGTGCGGGGGCGACATGTCGTTGCTCTCTAAGTTGCTCTCGAACATCCTGTGGAGGGATAGGCTGTTTTGCCCCTGGCAATGCAACACGTTGAGGTTGCTCCCTGTCTCGATCATGAAACGAGAATGGGTGAGGGGGCGCTCTCAGAGATCGAGCACTAGGAGACATGACCGAGGGTGGTGGCTGAGAAACTGCTGGTTGCTGCTGTATTTGTAGTGGTTGTTGACCGCCTGCTGGCACAGCTTGTGCCTGAGCCTGAGCCTGAGCTTGGGCTTGAGCTTGGATCTGAGCCTGAGCCTGGGCCTGGGCATGGGCCCGAGCCTGGGCCTGTTCCTGAGGTGTGCCGTTGATGGGGTATCCAAATGAAGGAAAAGTTGGTGGTCTGCTAGGCTGCACACCCGCTTCGGTCTTGGGTTGGGCTGACTCCGGCATCAAATCCGCATTGCCAGGTGCAGGAACAAGTGGCCGAGATGTGTTCGTACTTCCGGAGCTCTCGTACCGTCGGCCGCGGCCGCCACTGGTTGGCAGTGGCGGCTCGGGGCGCTTCTCGCCTCGGTCTCGTTTTGCGTCTGCTTCACGCATGAGCTCCTCCCATTCGGGTTTCCCGTGATCCTTTTGTCGGACGTAATAGTTCTTGACCTATGACACGGAACGTCTTGATTAGCATATGTTCTTCACTGGCAGCTTTCAAATGGGCAAATACATACCATTACTGCCGTCTTGGATCCCATATGGGTAGCAATAGCAGCCCAATCAGACCCGAACGCTCTAAGTAGAAGTGGGAAGTCGTTGGATTCGGATACACTCCAATAGCTTGACGCTTGTGTCGGAGCCTTACGCTCTTGCTGAGGCTGTGTCAGGTTAAATGTAGCCATGGCCGGCTGTGGAGGTGGTTGTGGGGGTTCTGGGCGCAAAGAAGGAGCTGCGATAACATCTGTAATCGAGGAACCTGTGGGCAGAGCCTGCTGGCGCTCCATAGTTTGGGGTCGAGGCTCCTGCTTTGGTTGCTGAACAGAAAAAGCATGCTGAACTCCCGGATGCTGCTGCTCAAATTGAGGGGGGGGGCCACGGCCCTCAGTAGGAGTTCCTGTCTGGAATTCCATACTGTGTCCCTTGTTATCTGACCTTGAGCGTGATCTGCCAGTTGTCCCGGGTGCAGGAGCAGCAGCCAGAGCCTGGTTGGGTTTGGGTTGCTTCGGCTCTTTGTCCTTGGATGCTTTTGATCTTCTGCCTCTCCGACCATCGACCTTTTCTTCCCCCTTGACAGAAGCACCGCGCCGGCCAGGAGTACTGGCAGGGGTGCCATTCTCTGACTCTGTGTTGGGGGGTTGTTCGAAGCCCCAAGTTGGAGCTGCGGCTCGCCGAGGACGGCGCCTGCTCTCACCGTTCTCCCCATTCTCGTGGTTCTCCTCCGTCTCTGGTTCGCCGTTGCCAAGTTCAGATACGAGGGCACTTGACCTCTGCTTCCCCCTGCCCTTCTTACGCCTCTTAGGCTGTCTCCTGAGCTTCTCCTTGAGCTTCAACTCTTTCTTCATGAGATAATAATACTGAATGCATGTGCCAAAATCACGATGGGGAATCGTCTCGGCAATTCTGCCCCATTGCTTCGGCACCTCAAGATATCGTTTCTCAAAAAGCTCAACTTCTTGCTCGGTGAAGTTATTGACTGGGGGAAGCACATGCCACGTAGACGCAAGCTCGCTTTGGTTGACGAAACCTGACCGGTCGTAGAACTGAACTCTAGCCTTGTCTTCCGCATCCCAGTACATGTCAGGTATCACAGCCTCCTTTTCACTGCGATACTTCTCTTTCTGGGCTCTCAATTCACGTTCCCTTCTCTCATCCTCTTCTCGCATCGAGGCCTGTAAGACTCGCTCAAGATCACGCTCTGAAGCAAAACGCCTACCACTAGTTCTCCCTTCAGGCTTGGGCTCTGGAGTTGCAAGCCCGGGAACTTCGGTTGACGGCCCCGAGACAGAAAACTTGTCACGACTCTTGGCAGCAACAGGATCGGTCGACAACGTGAATTTGAGGTACTTGGTGTAGCTATCGGCGTACTCCTGTTGCCCCTGTGTAGTCTCTTTGGTTTTGGTAATATGCATATCCTCTAAATGCCCAAGAATGAAATCTTCCATTCCAGTATCTGCGTCGAGTGATGCAAGGTAATCGCTGTCCTCGTGCCATGGTCCCACAGTGGGTTGTGGAAGGCCATCAATCGGGGGTGTAACATTGTACCTTCGCGTCGCGGCAGGATCAAGATATGCTTCGTCCTCTGACTCTGTTTCATCGTCGTCACCTTCGTCCTCGACCTGCGATGGCGTGCTGGGAGGCTTCACTTCAGATGCTGTAATTTCCATGAGAACGCTTGGAATGGTTTCTGCAGGCGGGGCAGCAGGTTCCATGGTAGCATTGTTGTCATCCTCCTTGGCAGGTGCTGGTAGAGGAGACTTCGGACCACTCTCTTCGGGCGTTACTTCAGGAACAGCCGGAGCTGGCGGAGGTGTTGAAGGTACCGAGGCTAATGGAGCAGGTGGTGGCTCCTTGACTTCAACACTGTCAATCTCCATTTCCTCAGATTTCAGTTCGATTCGAAGGTCCTGAGTCTCTGGCATCAGAATGCTATCGCTTTCCGCTGCCACGTTCTCGCTAACATCATCTAATTGCATTGCCGTGTCCGTGTCGGGTTCCGGAACGAGTTTCGGATCTGAGGGTTCCTTCACCTCGGGGACCTCCTCCGCCATTTCAACCTCTGTAGAAACTACCGTCTCCTTTTGCTCTGCATTCTCGTTCTTAGCCGCATTCTGGGTTATAACCAAGTTTTCCTTGACAGGAGAGGACTCCCTTGCAGTCAACGGTTCCCTTGTGGCTGGAGATTCCTTTGCAATCGATGGTTCCTCGGCGGTCGGTGGTTCTTTTGCGATCGAGTGTTCCTTAGCGACCGGGTGTTCCTTAGTGACTGAGGGTTCCTTGGTAATGGGAGGATCCTTAACAACCAGGTCTTCCTTGGGAGCCGGGGTCTCTTGAGGAACGGAATTCACCTTGGGCAGTGCATCTTCCACCACAAGCGAGGTTTCCTTGGTAGGCGGCTCTTTCTTGGGAACTGCTGTCTCTTTTGGTTCGTTTCTGGCTGGCTCTTTCAATTCTTTGACAATTGGTTCTTTCGGTTCTTTGACAACAGGTTCTTTCGGTTCTTTGACAACAGGTTCTTTCGGTTCTTTGACAACAGGTTCTTTCGGTTCTTTGACGACGGGTTCTTTCGGTTCTTTGGAGGCTGACTCTTTCGGTTCTTTGGAGGCTGTTTCTTTCAGTTCTTTGGAGGCTGGTTCTTTCATGGCTGGCTTTACGACCAAAATCTCCTTTGTGGCTGCGCTATCTTTGGCAGGACGGGTTTCCTTAGGAACCACTGGATCCTCTCGACGAGCAGGGACTTCCTTTTTAGGTAGAACAACTTCTAGTGCTGAGATACTGCTGGCGGGTGTCGATGTAGTTTCAATATTCGTTTTCGACTTGTGAAGCTCCTCCGGTACCTTTCCAAGTAAGCCGTCCAGGTCGTCCCCTTCGTTCAATATCTTGACCATAGCCCCGTGGGAGATGGCGGCATAATGAGCTACTACTTCCATCGGAAGGTTTGGCTTTTGTAACGTGCTCAACACGGCCTCGGTTTTCTCTATTTGCGAAGCAAAATAATCGCTCATGTCCTCATCGTCATCATCAGAATCCCAATCTTGATCAGGCGCGGCCTGAGCTTTTGGCGCCAAGGCAAACCGGACAGCGCGGAGATGAGGTCGCTTTCGCTTCTTCAAATTGCTCTCCTTCGGGCGAGTTTCTTCGTCCTTATTATAATTGCCATTCGTCTGTCGAGCCCCGGGCGAGGTAGTGTAGCTCTCTTTGTCCTTTGTGTCGTCACCCTTGATCGATAGCGAGTGGCGTCTATGCTCATCAGATTCGGCCACCATGTGCCAATCGTTGTCAGTTTTCGACATGATTTCACCGGGCTCTGCACTATAATGGGACCGCCTTCGGGGTTCCGAGTCAGCAAAGTCAGAAGCGGCTTTCGAATCACTACTTTGAGGCCTCCTGTCCGGCAAACCTTGGTCTGTGGGCATACTCTCCCGTCGGGGAGGGCCAGTTCGTGGTTGCGTAAAGGTCTGGGACCGCATGAGCTTAGGCGAATCCGGGGCTTTCTTCAGACTAGGGTTAATCCATTGCTTGCTTGACGGGCGCTGAACCTTCTGTTGTTGTGCTCGGGGCCCTAAGGGAATTGCTGGGCCTTCATGGGCCAAGGGCTTGGCGGGTCCAGTTGGGGCCATAGGGGGCTCCTGGCCAAGTGATGGTCGTTCAACGAACGCTCTCGGGGCAGTTGGAGGAGGCTTTCCGGTTCCTGCGATGCTCAACTGGCTTTCTCCAATGCTTGGAGGGCGGTTTGGCACTGACCCGAAGGCCGGAGCAGATGGTGCTACAGGAGGAGGGGATACATCCCGTTTAGGAGTAACGGAGTCCTGGGGGTTCCCACGGGCGTCAACCTTCGGACGGAACAAATCCAAGGGCCTGTCTCGCTCCTCACGAGGATCTCTGGGGCGCATATCCGCATCGGGATACCTATCTCCTCGGTCTCGCTCATCCCGCTCGCGTCCCCAGCGACCTTCCTGAGATCGACTTCTAGGGTAACGGTCTCCACGGTCGTCGAATGATGCTCGTCCACGATTCCGATCGCCCATCCAATCTCCTCTTCCACCCCTTCCACCCCTTCCACGAACAAACGACCCACCACGTTGGAGTGGTGGGGGTCCAAAAGGCGGCTCGGATATTGGCGAGCCTCCTGACAATGGGCCGTCCCGTGAGTTGCGGCGCGGTCTATCAGCATCAGGTCCTGCAGGTCCATCTCGGTCTCGATCGCGGATAAAGTCTCGTATCGGGGAGCGTGCTCTGCCTATGGGGGAGCGCCGCGAGCGGTAGGGATCGCGCCATTCTCTCTCCCGGTCTCTGTCCCGATCGCGTTCTCGATCGCGTTCTCTACTCCTCTCGTCGCGAAAGCGGTCGCGGAATTCAATGTCCCTGTCTCGACCGCGTTCTCTGCTTTCATCCCGCGCAGGCCAGCCGCGACCTCTTCCACGACCACCTCTTCCCCTGTAGTCTCCAGAATAGCCACGACCCCGTGGTTCAATCAACGCCCTAGGGCCTCGAGGAGGCTCCCGACGAGGGCCATCTGCAAAACCATCACGGTTTGACTGGAAGGCAGTTGTGTTCGACCTAGCTTCATTAGATGAGCGCCTCCTGTCAGCGTCAAAACGATCACCAGGCGAACGGTCTCTGGGTGAGAGAGACCTGCGGTCATACCGCGTGTACCTAGAGGCCCTAAACAACAGGATAATATGTTAGACTCCGCCCTGAGAGATGAAGGTAAGAGAATTGCGAAGGGGGCTGGCGGCACGCATAAGCAGACGTACATTGGTGGTAACAGGCCAGCAGGCTGGGCCTTGACGGGCTTCGACCTCAGCCAGCAATCCCATCCAGTCGTGCAACGGCGCGCGACTCGATGCGAGCTGGCTCCTTATCGAGACCAACACCGAAATCGCTTCCGAAGGGGGTGTGCAGCGCGTATTCCTGGGCAGGAAAAGGTCGGCCAAAGGGTGGCTGGCTCCAGGGCAGATGGACTTGGTGGATGTGGCCTTGAAATGCAACACGGCGGTTGCGGCGTCCACCTGGGCGGATGGTGCGGTCAGGTGGGCAAAAAACGGGAATCTTGGTGAGGTGTCGAAATCCAGGCTTGGCTCCTCCAGGGGGCCTGCCGTGCAACCGAATTCCGAGGCCGTCCGGATGATATGTACGATGGTATAGTCCCCGACGGTTTGAGGCGCAAGTGAGTTTGGGCGGATGTGAGGGAGGGAAGAAGAATTCGAGATGCAAAGGATTGGATAGAACGACTGACCCCGGCCAGCCAGTCCAGCCCAAGCACCGGTGCTAAACCATGTTCAGACGCGCCAGCATCTGAGACTTCGGCTATTCAGGACTGCCCCGGCCACTGGGACATTTGATGTAGGACTAGTGTGGCTAGTGCCCCTGCAGCCTGCGCTGTGCTGGTGGAGGCCAGTGCCTGTTGCAGCGAGTCAGGCCCCACTTCCCACCACCACAAAAATAAAGAGCCCTCTATGGACGGACGCCCGTCGCCAGAGCCAAACACAAAAAGCCTGTGCCAATCATTCGCAGTAAAAAAGCTCGATGGGGCAAACTGCCGTTTTCCAAAATATTACAACTGCTCATGTGCCTAGCATTAATAAGTGACACTGGAAATTCTGGCGAATGTCAAGAGACCTGCCAGATTCTTACCCCACGCCAAAGCCTGTCTGTCTATAACACCAAATATTAGTACCTTTCTCCCCTCCCCCAGACGGTTATTCTTCAAAAGCAACACTAGGTAGCTTGTCTCGTTATCATGACCAGCAACAATGTGAATCCGCCTCCCCCCCAAGAGGCTGTAAACGCCCTGCCTGATGAGACCAGAAATGCAGTGCTGGTTCAGTCGGAGGCCATGCCTGAGGGGGCACCAAAAGTTGAGGATTTTGATTTCAACAAATTCAAAGGCCGGCCTATAACTGCCGAGGATTTGCTGCTAGGCATGCAGAATATGGGGTTTCAGGCTTCTTCCATTGGCGATGCTGTCAGGATTATCAATGGCATGGTAAGTCCTCCCCCTCATTGCCAACCATCCTTTCCCGGCTGTATTCAGGCATCCATGTGAAGGCGAAAGAAACATATTGCTAAGTTTCTGGTTAGAGGGAATGGAGAGACCCTGAGACGGGGGACAAGACCACCATCTTCCTGGGCTACACCTCCAACATGATCTCATCTGGCCTCCGTGGCGTCTTTCGTTATCTCGTGGAGCATAATCACGTCTCAGCCGTTGTCACAACAGCCGGTGGTATCGAGGAGGATTTTATCAAGTGTCTCGGAGACACCTACCTTTCCAAATTCAGCGCGCCCGGCTCCGAGTTGCGCAAGAAGGGCATGAACCGCATTGGAAATCTAGTCGTCCCAAATGCAAACTACTGCGCCTTTGAGGATTGGGTTGTCCCCATCCTGGATAAGATGCTTGAAGAACAGGAAGCCAGCAAAGGAACCGAGGACGAGATCAACTGGACACCGTCAAAAGTCATCCACCGCCTTGGCAAGGAGATCAACGATGAGCGCTCAGTCTACTACTGGGCGTACAAGAACAATATCCCCGTTTTCTGCCCTGCTATAACTGACGGTAGTCTTGGGGACATGCTCTATTTCCACACGTTCAAGTCGTCTCCCCTCCAGCTTAAGATTGACTTGGTCGAGGATATTCGCAAGATTAACACCATGTCTGTCCGTGCTAAGAGGGCCGGCATGATCATCTTGGGAGGTGGAGTTGTCAAACATCATATTGCCAATGCATGCCTTATGCGCAACGGCGCCGAGTCTGCTGTATACATCAATACCGGACAGGAATTTGACGGGAGTGATGCCGGCGCACGGCCAGATGAAGCAGTGTCTTGGGGTAAGATTAAAATGGACGCCGAGAGTGTCAAGGTGAGACAAGCAACCAACCCCCAAATCCTACACGTGGTGTCTGATCGACTCTTGTTTCTAGGTATATGTGGAGGCCACGACCTGTTTCCCATTAATAGTTGCGAACACGTTTGCGAAAAGTACCAGCGGGGCCAATTGAGTAACGTAAATAGAAGGTCAATTCAAGTGATAAACCGGACGCATACTTTTTTCCGCCCTCGATCATTCAAGCTTGTCATTGCCATTTGCTTGACTGTTGAGTTTTCCATCTCCATCAGTTTCCATTAGCCCGTTGCTCTCACCCCCAAAACAGCCTTGGACCTCACATTTCAGGCCCTCTTTATCATCAGTCTTGCCATTCCCTGCACAGCATCCGTCCACATTGCTCTCATGTTCCCTTCGCACTCGATACCCGGCAAGAAGAGAACCGTTTACGTCGGTGCGCCTTCATGGGGCAACTACGAACCCATGATGAAGCTTGCCGGACTTGACTTCCAACCATACAAGCACTATTCTCCCGAGACGACATCGGAGACCGCACGCTGCGAGGATCGTGATCTTCTCCGCCGTGCCACGTCAAACATAAGTAGAAATTCATGCCCATCAGGCAAGTCGCCTAGTGGCCATCCCCCTAGCTCCTTGAACCTCACTTGAGCATCTAGGGGTTCGGTGTGGTCAACGAAGAAGTTCGAATCCACCCCACACTTGAGTCCACTTGTGTCCTCCGAGTTGAAGAGGCTTCCATGGAGCCTGGCATCCTTGACATAGCTGACCGGAGATCCAGTTATGACGTCCGCGGCATGCTGCCTAGCAAAGTCTAGCGGGACTTGAGGGAATGTGAAATCTGATCTAGTTAGAGTAGGTTTGACCCGGCCAGGGAATCAAAACTCACTTCCAAAGGCTTTTGCAAGAGTTTTACAGGCGGCTGGATGAGAGCTCATGATGCCGAATATGTCGTCATCACTGTTGCGGAGGGCTAGAAGTAGGATGGTGGTGAGACGTTGTTCCCGATAGTTGCGATGAATGACGAGCTGGGTGATCCAGCATACCTGATGATCCCTATATTGCTAACGGCAAGCAAAGGCGTTGCCTGCTAAGGTTCTATCTATAGTGATTCTTGCATAGGAGCTTCGTGACCCTTTGGGAAGATTCTGGGCCCTTAGACGGGATGTGGTCATTTTCACGCGACTGCCTGTTCTTGCTCGTGAGTTGAGTACTAAAAACGTCTTAAGGCAACCACTCACCTGGCTTGCTGAAGGAGCGCCCACCAGGAGGCGGCTGGCCCCAGATTCTATAATTCTCGCTGAAGAGCCGAGAGGCGTCCTCAAGTATGTCCTCCGTAACCCGTTCGCGTTCGAAAATTGTGACCTGGAGTTCCCTAGACATCCTTGCGTGGTGAGTATTCCTTTTTCTCTGCGGATATCGGGGCCCGAATGTTTTTATATCAACATCATTAGAGAAAGGTGACGTGTCGGGTGACCATCAGTACGTGATTGTAAGGGTACGGGGTCTTTATGGTATGGGCATGGGTCTCGGGATTGATTGGCCGCTGCTATAGTTGTGAGAAGTAAAAGTTAGTATTGAATATACTTCTTCAAGCGAGATTTGGCATTATAATGATTGGCGTGTGCTCAGATTGTGGGTCTAAAAGAGTCACGAATTTCGATTTACGCCTCGTGGAACCTATATACTTTTATCCATATCACTAATCAAACCGATACGAATCGCGGTGAAAAAGGTTTTATTAGAGAAGTGTTTGAATTACTACCATGTGGCGGATCGAATTGGGTGGCGACATTCGATTGTGAGGCGAAATTAGGAGTGAGCTTTTGTTGATGATGGTGTTTTGATCGGGGTAGGGACCCAGCTTCTCGCTATGGTCGGTATGACGAGAAGGGCGGACCCTCGGTTCCTCTGAAGGCACTCCCTAGCAGCTGAAATCAGCGTACTAGAGAGGCTTGCCTTGACAAGTTTGCGAGGGGTTTTAATCCTCGATGTGGTGCGAAACGGTCCCACATCCGACAGAAGTGATATATCGTAGCTCACGAATTCGCCTTGTCCCACTCACCCCTTGGGCGGAAACGCATCTTATTAGCCTGTCGTCTCTTTTCCTTCCTTTCAAGCTCCTTCTCCTCGTGTTCCATTTCCTCCCGAATCCTGTTAAGATCGAATGGTTCCTCACGCATAGCCTCGATCGCCTTCTGGCCTTCATCCAGGGTTGGCCAGTTCGCGGCCGCACCTCCCTTCCTGGTGAGCAGCCAGTCAACCACATCCCAGTTGTCGTGTGATCCGTCAGGCCTCTTCACAGTCTGAGCTCCTTGGTCCCATAGTTCCTGGCAATTCTGAGCCCAAGGCGCTGGTAGGTCGCTGAAATCCGGGAGTCCCGATGATCGGATCGCGGTGGGTGGTCGTTTCTCTGCTTGGTCGGCCATGCCAGACTCAGGGCCAGCGGCCTTCTTCTTCAGTGAGTCCTCTCGCTGCATCGGGATATACGCTTGAAAGCGATTTCCTCTGGGGTTGTGGCCAGACATGATCCTTAGTGGGAGCAGAGGTTTGCGATGCAAATAATCATGAAGAAACTGTGTTGTAGATTGCTTTTCGAGTAGGGATGGTGTAGTGTTCTACTTGAGATGAGAACTGATCCACGTAGTCGGTTACTTTTTGAATGTGTGTTGAGAACCAAAGGTTGATTGGGGAAGTTGGGAGAAAGAATAACCACGGCCGACCCTCACAGTTGCAGTGGGGAGGTTCTCTGCAAATGAATAAAGTGGAAGGAGATGCTGTGACTTCAGTGTCTCCGGGACCTGAGATTACGTCCACCTCTCCTCAAGTCTTGCGGGTGTGTGAGACTAAGAGAGAACACTCGCGAACAATGTGGCGGGGTGTTTTGATTCAGTGCTGGTTTGTTCTATCACCCTGCGTGTGAGCCAATGGTGAGTGTGTTCTCATCCTCTTCTCAGATGGCAGGTACCGATCAGTTACCACAAATCGGTGTTCTGCCTGCCGGTCTCTTACGCGCAACCGGAATCCTGCGAACTGACCCAGAGTCATGCAGGCGCCCATGGCTCCATAGCTGGTACAAACTCGGTGCTGTGTGACGATCAATGTCCTGTGTAATAGTGACAAAGTACAAGATCTGAAAAATTGCTGCAGTCTTGCTCCTTTGTCTTCCTCAAGTTTATATCGGGCACTAAGGTATTGCTGACAACAAAAAAAAAGTCTGCACATTGCAGAGAGGTAAGATTTAGGCAGCCTTCAAGTAGGCAACACTCGCGTTTAATTAGCCTTCCAAATGAACCGGAGCCGCATTTCATTGCAAATCGCCAAGGAAAAGAACTCATCCACAGTCTACAGCTGAAAATGCTGGTCTGATGGTACTCAGATGACTATTGGCAGAAAAACATCGAAAGGGTACAGACACAACAGCCTAAGAAGACAAGCTCCAGTCCCACTCAGCACTGTCTCGCAACAAATTTCGCCACCAATATGACATCTTTTCCGGTTATATTTCTTCAATCTTGACCGATGAGTACCTTGAAGCTCTCTAGGGCGGCAGCCCAGTCGTCGGCACCATCATTCTCGGCCCACGTGCCCACCTTATCAATGCCAGCCAAGTCACCACCCATATGACTCTCATTTGTGGTACCATTGAGTATAATGAGACCTTCCAAACCCAGAACCAAGGCGTAGTAGGCTACCTCCGGTTCCACGCCAGCAAGTTGGGCCACGTCAAGTACCGGACGGCTTTTAGCCAATTTTGGGTTCCCAGACAGAGTCCAGAAAGATTGGAAGATAACCCCGTGAGAGTTGCAGAATTCTCGAAGTTCCACCTCATACGCAGTCCCGTTGTAGAACCGGTTCTGCACCACGGCGGGTTTAACTCGGGCTTGCTCGTGAAGCATCTTCAAGGTGTCGAGGTCAGTGTTGGAGATGCCCAGGTGACGGATGGTGTCGGGAGTGTACTCCTCCAGAGTTTTCCAGACAGCCAGGGTATCTCCGAAATCCTCGTATGGAGAATGGATGACAACGCTGTCTAGATATGGCGTCTGGTCGTCGACTTTGAAATTCTCAAGCGAGGACTGGAGCGACTGCTTGACTTGCTCTTGTATTGGCGAGTCGGTAGAATAAGGCTTAATTTCGCTCTGCCCGTGCGGAGGCGTAAACTTGGTTTGGATCTTTGATCATTCCATTAGCATGCATTGTCTCCCAAGCTGGGCGCGGGGAAGACACCCACGAAGAGGTCTTGTCGCCTTGCCAGGCCTTCCGTCACGGCTCTGGCCACACCGCGGCCAACAGAGGCCTCATCGTAGTGCCTGGGCTGGGCAGCCGTATCAATGCCGCGGAATCCATTCTTGATGGCTTTGTACACAAGGTCCGCCGTACGGTCTTTCTTCCAGGCGGTACCATACACGAATTTGGGGATTTGGGTTACTGCTGACGACGATCTGAGGGTCAGGTCTCGGGCCAGTGCCGAAGCTTGGGTCCCAATGCTCGACTGTGCCACCGCCATTGGATGCTATGGACCAACAAGTTGTATCAGAAGCCCAATCGGTTGGTTGGTTGGTTGTTGCACATGTGGCAGGCCAGGGGTTGACGAGATCAAAGCCAAACCGGGGGTGGGACCGGGTCGGATGTCTTTGCGGAAATCCGTTAACCAACAGCTTCACTCCTGTATTAGTTTGGCTCCGTGTACGGTGCCGGAGATAATTCACGACCAAGAATAGTGACGAGGATGGAGCATCGATGGAGGAATGATGCAATCGCGGAGTTACTCTTTTTGCCATCACCACCAGAGAGCGAGGGTTCACCGCCCTAGACCACCATCTATCATTCTAGGTAACCTGGAGACCTCCCCTATTCAGTATCTCCGATAGCTACCTAGGTAGGAGATTTTCTTATATTCAGCTTCTCCTCCTCCTCCGCCCAGAGAAAAGGACGCCTGGAGGAAGAAAGGATGTAGATAAGACAATTGTTCGGCAAATTAATTTAGTAGATCAGGCTAAATGAATGTCCTTAGTGTGGCTTCATCGTTGGCCATCAATGGCAGCTAACGGCTTGAAGGCAAGGGCTACCTTCGCCTCTCCGATCCAGGCAGATCAAATGGAGGTTTATTTCGCCGTACTACTGCCAATTATACAAAGACCGCTAGCTGATAGGCAGTGGCCAGTATAATAATCCCCTCACCTCTGCATTCGGTCGATAAGGTAGGTAATTAGGGGAGGAAGTGCGGGGTAGCTCCTGTCCACCCACCACCAACGTCACCAATCGAGGCCGCTATCAGGTTCCGTTGCCCACGGCGGGAACCTTGAAGAAAATAGAACTCACTATTAGATTTGCTCCCGTTCCAGTTCAAGAGACCGCGTCTTGTTTCTAGCCTGGAATAGTAGGCCGCTCAAGCCAATCTTAAGAAATTGACCAGTTCAACCATTCCTGGTATTCTGCGTGACCATTGATTCCATGGTGAGAACCTGAACAACTCAATCCACTCTCCCTCTTCTCTAGGCACCTATTTAGTATCCGGGGGCAGCTTTTGCCCCTCTTGCCTAAGCTGGTGCTGATCGGAATTATCGGCCTCATTCAAGTGATTTGGTTATAAAGCCCCCTCTGTCCCCTGGTGCTTTGAATCATTCGATACGCTACCCACCTCTTCTTCTTCCCTCAAACATCTCTCAGAAACTCTTCAAAATTATTCCACGATGGCATCCACCAGTCCGTACACAGTAAAATGGGGCATCATGGCCACTGGAGGCATCGCTGCCAGTAAGTGAACACCAGCCCATGGCCTGACCTATCACTTCTTCCAAGGCTGGATACTAACGCCATCATTCCTACGAAAAAGCCTTCTGCAAAGACATCCTCACCAACCCAGAGACTCGAGGTGTCAGTGATGTTCGCCATGAGATCGTCGCTGTCTCATCCTCCAGCTCAAGCGACAGGGCTGCGGCCTTCATCAAGGACATCAAGGGCCCCAGCACAGCCAAACTCTATGGCTCTTACCATGAGCTCGTCGCTGACCCCAATGTCGACATTGTATATGTTGCGACCCCTCACAGCCACCACTTCCAGAACGCAATGCTTGCTCTAGAGGCTGGCAAACATGTGCTCTGTGAGAAGGCATTCACAGTCACAGCCTCGCAGGTAAAGAAGCTTGTGGAGAAGGCCAGAGCCAAAAACCTGTTCCTGATGGAGGCTGTCTGGACTAGATTCTTCCCCTTGAGCATCAAAATCCGAGAGTTAATCACAAGCGGCGCCATTGGTACGGTGCACCGCACAATTGGTAAGTTCTCTCTATGCCACCAGCAGCTTTCCATTCTCAATAAGGATATAGAGAAGTTGAGATCTGACAAACCCATGGTATAGCCGACCTAAGCTTCAACTCAAGCCAGCCTGATGGGAACCTTGAATTCCCTGACACCAACAGGATGGTCAATCTCGACCTGGCTGGAGGGGCTGTGCTTGATCTTGGTATCTACTCCCTGACCTGGGTGTTCCAGACCCTCTACCACACACAACCTGAGGCCCAGAAGGAAGCTCCTCTTGTTACTTCTGCCAGCAACCAATACCGAACAGGCGCAGATGAGCAGACCACCATCATTTGCCAGTTTCCTCAACACAAGTCCATGGGTATCGCCCTCACTGGCCTCCGTGTCGCCACTGACCCCGACGGCCACAACAGCGCCGGACCAGCCATTCGCATTCAAGGTACAAAAGGCGAGATCCAGGTCATGGGACCTGCCTTCAAGCCGGGGCAGTACAAGGTTATCAAGAAGGACGGCGGAGGCAAGGTCGAAGTTGTGGATTGCGATTACCCTAAAGACCCCGCCCGCGATAACTGGGGTCACGGCATGTACTGGGAGGCGGATGAGTGCGCCCGTTGCCTACGTGATGGAAAGCTGCAGAGCGAGAGTATACCTTGGTCGGAGAGCATCACGATCATGGAGACGATGGAATCAGCGCTGAAGCAGGGTGGCATTACCTACCCAGACCTCATCACCACTGATGTTTTTGATCCTCAGAGTCCTCTGAACACCGGCAGCAGATAGGTAAAGTCTAGTTAGCCAATTTCAGCGGATATCAAACTATTTGAGAAGCCGTCTACATCACATGAAAGCTAGAGTCATGACAATGCCGCTTAGTCAGCTCTACTGTGCCATCCTCTCGCTCAGGTCATTTGAGGCTTTCTGTCTTTTACATTGCAGTGACATTTGGTCAAGGAGTCAGATATCGTCATCAATTTCCGAAAAGAGAGCACGCCGAAGATTGACCTATGTACGTTGCGACTAAAACAAGGCACTCGTACACTCGCCACGGGTGTAAGCTGGCCATCGGCGATAATCAAAACGCCCACGATCGGGTGCTTCTCTCCAACCGCCAGCTTTATGCCTCTGGCGTTTCGGGTACTTCGAAACCAGACGATGCAGTGATAAAACTCCCACACTTGTGGGGTTTGACCTTTTTTGCATCATAGTTCCTGTGATAATGTGCCTACCTACATGAAGGAGGGGATGAGCTGAGTAGCGCAGGGGGCAGA